CCAGGCGTGGTGGCGCATGCCTGTAATCCTAGCACTCGGGAGGCTGAGGCAGGAGGATCGCTGCGAGTTCAAGACCAGCCTGGGCTACAAAGTGAGCTCAAGGCCAGCCTGAACTGCATAGCGAGACCCTGTCTCAAAAAGACCAAAAAAAAAAAAAGTCAAACGTAGAATCTACAAAAGTTGATCTCATGGAAACAGAGCAAGAACAGTAGTTAGCAGGGCTTGGAAGGAACAGGGAGAGAAAGGGTGGAGGCTGATTAAATAGGAAATGAATTCTGATGTTCTGCTATACACTGGGGGGACCAGTAATCATAATATACTGTGTACATATGCACCATACACACATTCATACACTTATAAATGTGTATAAACACTTATATATACATATTTTTAGTACTAGGGATCAGACCCAGAGCCTCACTCATGTTAGGCAAGAGCTCTACCACTAAGCCAGGCATGGTGACGCACACCTGTAATCCCAGTACTCAGAAGGCTGAGGCAGGAGGATCCTTGCGAGTTGGAGACCAGCCTGGGCTACAAAGTGAGCTCAAGGCCAGCTTGAACTGCATACCCAGACTCCATCTCAAAAAGACATTAAAAAAAAAAGACCAAATAAAATGTTACTTCATTCTACTGATAAAGATGATAGCGAACATCTGCAATTCCACTCTTGGAAGGTACGGGGGCAAGAGGACTGTCAAGTTTGAGCCCAGACTGGGCAATTTAGCAAGACCTTCTCTTTTCTTTGTTTTTTTTTTTGTGTGTGTTTTTGAGACAGGGTCTCGCTATGCAGTTCAGGCTGGCCTTGAGCTCACTTTGATCCTCCTGCCTCACAACGATCCTCCTGCCTCAGCTTCCCGAGTGCTGGGATTACAGGCGTGCGCCACCACATCCGACTCTAGCAAGACCTTTTCGCAAAATAAAAAATAAGAAACAAAAGTCTAACGATATGATGTAGTATCAAGACCTTGGATTCAATCCCTAGTTGAAAAAGAAGCCTACAGCAAAACACCATGCCAACAGTGAAACTCTAGTAGCATCACCTATGAAGTCAGGAGCAACCGAAGGACGCCGACCATCACCACCTCCATTACACTAGAGGTCCAGGAAAAACGAAAGGCACAGGGTTAAAAAAGGAAGATCCCAAAGCTGTCCCTATTTGTAGGTGACATGATTATTTACAGAGAAAATTCACAAGAATCTGGAACCAGTAGATACGAAAGAGTTCAGCAGAGTTCTGCACACAAGATCAGTACATAAAATCAGTGTGGTCATACACAAGCAACAATCAACCAGAAAATGTAATTTCTAAAAGATCACATGTACAATAGCATCAAAAACTATAAGCTACTCATATATTTGAAACATTTTCATGTAGACACAAGACACAAAAGCTGTAAGATAACCAGGGCTGATTCCACAGAAGATATACAAGAGCTTTAAAGGGAAAATCAAAATCTTACTAAATGCTGCTATTCTGCTTACAACACTGCATTCACTTGGGAGGCTGAGACAGGAGGACTGCAAATGACAGTCCCGCCTGGGAAACTTAGTGAGACTCTGTCTCAAAAAGGGCTGTGTGC